CTCTCTCTCTCTCTCCTCTCTCTCTCTCTCTCTCTCTCTCTCTCTCTCTCTCTCTCTCTCTCTCTCTCTCTCTCTCTCTCTCTCTCTCTCTCTCTGCGTAGGGACCAGCCTGGCTTGGACCAGACCAGCACTGACCTCCTAAAGTCAAACTGCAAGTTTCGCTGGTCCAGAGAAGCTCAGTACTTGTATCTTCGCCGACTCTCCTCACGCAGCTACTCGGCAATTACAATGGTACGTTCTTCACATAATGTTTAGTGTGGATGCTGTGTTTTGGAGAGGGACATAGTCTGGTTTGTTTGCTTCTGTTGACCTTTTACTGTTTATTTCAGTGTTAAAGGCAACACAATGCAGGCAAAAACAATGTCTCTTTTCTCTGAACTTATCAAAAGTTGACATTAGATAATGCCTCGTGATCATATTTTCAAACATACATTCCAGATAACTTTAAATACTTATCGTCTTGCAAGTAATCAGCTGTTGAAGTTTCATGGTATCCGTTTACACTGCAAGCCCTAGCACTTTATTCTTATTTCTGATGTATTGCTCAAATCAAGTTTCTGATGAAAAAGTAGCATAAATTCCAATATTAATGTTCAGACTCGTGTTGAATTGCCAAAACTGAGACTTGTATCGGATTCTGACCCACATATGAAGAATTTAAAAGATCAGATTCCATGTGAATTGTCCTGTTCACACAGCGAGGGGAAAAAACAGGTCACATTTTTAATGACTTTCTCACAATATTTGGTTACATTTGGTAAAACACTATGACTCTATTATGCCATCAAAATGAAAAAGGAATTTTGAACCAGGCATTATCCAATGTTAGATTTATATTCTGGAAATGTATGCAAATTAGCACATGTTAAGTAAGATCATTTCTCACTTGCATAATTAAACATTTGCAAACCTGGCTGCTTCTTTCTGACGCGTTGATGAGTCGGTGTTCCCAGACTTCTTTCCGTATTTGAATACAACTACGCTGACTGCTCCTGCATCCTGGATGATGATTAACCAGAGAGACATGTCATGTCCCGGAAGCTGCATTGTTTTAATGACTTGGTCACAAACACTATTCAGGCCAGTGGAGCTGTTTTGCATTAGAATGGCCTATTTTAAGAAACGTTTCACATTTCTCAGTAAATGGAATGCATTGGATTGACCTGATTTTTCAAAAATGTTTTTTTCATTATATCATTCCTGAAGTGTTGCTGCTTCGAAGTAAAACATTTTGCCAACAGAAAGGCTTTTTAAAATTAGTGAATATTGACAGGAAATGGTTAAGTTGTACATGTTGTAAGGGATTTGGGATATTTTCCAGTCAGCTGGCATACTTATCTGTGATTTGATAACATACCAGATAAGGGCAGGTTTGAATGGAGGGAGTAGATAGTATTACACACACACACAAAAAAAAACAATAGGTTATTGTGGGACAGCTGCAACCTGAACCTTTGCTTCAGCTGCTCATGTATAAGAGCCTTACATGTCCCACATAGTTCTATAACCTCTATATACATTTGTTGAACTTGAGCTGAGGCTGTTCATGGTTTGTGCCACTTAGTTTAAGTAAGAGTGAATCCTAATGGTTCAGCACATAGTGATAATAGTCCATAAAAAAGTTGTTCTCATTTTTGTCGTGGAAGAACCTAACTCTTTGGGATGATTTAAAACACTGACTGTGAGCCGGGCCTTATCACTCAACCTCACTGATGCGCTTGTGTCTGAATTGGTAACAAATGCCTGCTTCCTGCTTCTAAAATCTGGTGGAAAACCGAAACCAGGAGAGTTGCTGCTGCTAAAAAAGCAGATTGACGCCCAAGGTTTTGGAATGGCTTGGCAACAATCGCATACAGTATGGCTTTAATGTTCAATTCAGTGTGCACATACAGTAGGCTATTGTAGTGTACTTTCTACAATGCAATGCATGTCCCTCCTATTAACCAATAGCCTACTTGCTAATCAAACAATGACTGGAGGCCTGGTTAATCAAAATAAAAAAGCATAAATGACAAAATAAGTTTGGCCCTATTAAATGTATTGATGGTATAAGTGAGAACATATTCTGGTGTATTTTTTTTTTTTTTATGGAGAAAAAAAGTGGGCCTATGGATTTCATATTTTAATCTCTAGCGTTATTGCTATTTTATATTCATTTAACTAACATATGTTTTGTTGCTGTAAGTATAGGTTACCCAAAATGCATTTCAAATGAATGCTCTTTAATTGCTTATGTTTTAAAGTGGCGGTCTTTTGATTATGTTCTGAGGTGTCCTGCATTTAATCTGTTGTTGTGCTGCTGTCTGTCTGGGAGACCCACACAGCAGGCTTCCTAAAATCAATGGGAATTTTGGACTGATCCATGTCAGCTGATGGGGGATGGGGGGGAAACTCCCTCAAGACACGAATCTTTAATGTGATTCCCTTTTAACTTAAACTACATTTAATACATCATTACATTCAAACGTGATTGATGTTATAATACGTTGTTTTAGTTTGTTTTTATTAACTACAGTAGTTTTAAAATATAGCCCCCCATCCCCCCGCCCCCATGCTCCTATTTGGTATAACCTTAGCTAGGAGTCGTCGGCGCTAGTCTTTGCTGTGGATGTCTGATCTGATTCTTTAACAAGGACACGGGATATTTACAGTAAAGTAGGCGAGATTTGTACATTATTAAGACGCTGAAAACCATCCGTTTCTTCTGGAAGTTGACCTGAATCCGAGAAGAAACTAGTTATAGTTACAGTTTT